AATTTTCGCTTTTAACTTTGTTGCGAAAATAATTCATGGCAGCGCCTGAAGAGCACATTTTGCTTCATTAAACGCGACTTTTGTTAATTGATTTCCTACTGCGATTCTATGCAATATTCTTGCGTTGTCGAGCTTGCGAAGAATGCTGAATGTCTTCAAGTTTTCCTGCTTTTTGTAACTAAAAGAAAAGCTGATGCACCAGAAAGCTGGAACGTTTCTAACATCGATTTTTAACTTTCTTCTTTTTGTTTTCTACGGAAACTTAGACCCTCTTATGTCTACTGGCTGTTTTGCGCTTCATATGGCTCATCGAGCCAGACAGTAAACCATAGCACAGTTTCGGGAGGCACTTGCGTACGCATTGAATATTTTATGCACGAAATATGTAAGCGCCGTGAAATAATGTGAAGTAAGGGAAATTTCAAGGAAAATGCTTCATTTGCTTGAGTACTCATGTACATACGCCCACAATGTCGGCCCTGTAGCTGCCGTCACGTGGCTTGCCTAATTAGCTCAGAGTTGGCGGCTTAATTTAAAATGTGAAAACATAGACAAAGTGATAATGTGAGATAAAAGCAATGCCATATTCTATTAATAGGTCTTTACTTAATGTTTGTTGATATTTTTGGACATTTATGGGAGAACGAAAGGTCTACAGACTTGACATTCCTAAAAGTTGTAAGATATTTTATATAATACGTTGCCTACATTTGGGCGCATTTAGCTAAGTCGCACACCCACTAAACGAAATTCGCTTCATTTTGCACTTTTTCATGGCTTTTAATGATTTTTTTTTTTTTTATAGAAATGCTTACTTTGTAGGAGATGAAACGGACAAAATTTACGAATTTGATCACAGTAGTATTTGTTCGGCAATTGTGTTGATATTGCGGTAGTTCTATCGTTACAGTTAAACCACACAGGCAGTGCTCACATATGTGCATATTACATAAGAAATTGCCACATATTTCGCCAATGTTTGCCTGTCTCTTTGATAATAGATGAGCGAACATGTAAACGTTGACCGTAAATATTTTACCGTTGGCGTCGTTGTTTGGTAACAACTACCATATATATGTATATATATACATGCCTGACCCTTATCTACATGTGCGCGGCAACGGAAGTGTTGGCACCATTTCCGGCGACAAGCCATAAGTGCAGATACAACTGTAAAAATATGTTCACTACGTGTAGGCTGTAGCGGCTTGTTATGTAACGAGCAGGTGCCCAACAAAATCGATTTCATGCCTCTTCATTCGTTCCAAGCGCACACAACTGATAGTGGCTGCCACGTTATTGCTCCTTTGTGAATGTGTCTTGGTTTTTTTTTTTTTTTTTTTTTTTTACATTTCTGTTTTGGTGTTCAATATTCTGCTTTTTATTTTGCTCATAGCCCGCCTGCCGCCAATCATCAGTCAAAATCTACACTGAAATATTCATGTACCGTGTTACAAGCGAGGCAGCGGCAGTGTCCAACAGCCCAGCTGCAACTGCCGTCATCGATCTTATTGCTGTTGCGCCGCATGTCTGTGTTTGTTCTTGTTGTCGTTGTCTATTTCACGCCCGATTGCAGGCGATGATTGTGGCTGTCAGTTGTAGCTACATCTGTTCACTGACAGCTGTAATTGGACAACGTCGCAACTCAGTTTATTAATATTGATGTTCTACACCGAGGAATGTGGGAAATTTTCTACGCGAATTCGGGTGGAAAATAATAAAGTCCAAAAAAAAGGATGTATCATATTTTTTTTATTAAAATGCTTGTTTGTGTTGTTGTGGCTAGCTTGTATGCGATACACAGTTCGACATTTGTAGCGCTCCAAGTTGGTCGAAATGCAGCTTTGTTCTTATGAAAAGGCTTTTCGCATCGAAATAAGAGAAAAAATTGCCTTTATTCCATATAAAGCAGTTTCGATTGCTTGTTGAACAACTGTATGCAGGCAAATTCTTCTCCAAGCAAACATTTCTTCTCTCAAAGCATCGGTTTGCGATTCATTTGTTTACAGCTCGTCATCTTCCATATATTTTCAATTCACACCAACTTCCTTTAATTAACGTTCTCTTCTCATTACGCAGACATTTTTTCTGGTACGCCACTTGATGCCATCGATGCCACCGCACCCACACCTTTCTCTTTTTCCTGCCATACGGCAACACTCGCTCATTTCATCAAGTACGCACGTCACGTATACGCCATGTCTATCCATCAGCTCCCACGTCCAGTTCAACTCGAATATGTGCCCACGTGGCGATTGGGCGCTAGGCGCTCCATCCGCACCGTTATTTGACCTTCGTGTATTTCTACTTTTGTTCACCTACGACTTTCAACTAATTTGAGTGGCTTGCCGGCGTTGGTCATGGCGGCGGGTGGGTGCCGAACTTGAAAATGCCATTTCAATGCATGACTGGCAAAACACTGTAGTTACCGTTACGTGGACGAAGCAAAACTTTAGCTTTCAACTATCCCGCTAGCAATGCTCATGAGACGAAGGCATCACCAACTTTGTTTTCGAGTTAAAATTCTTTAATAACATGTATGTATGTATGTATGCGCATTTGTATCTGCTACCTTTATTCTGCTTAGATGCTTATTTGCTGAGCAGACAGCATGCAGTCGGCAGCCCATTCCATGCCATTATTCAGCAGAACTCATTTAGCTTTTTCCAAACTTCATTCGCTTAAATTGCTTATAGAAATTATGTCTGTGCGTCTTTATTTTCTTTTTGTTGTTGTTTTTAGCATTTCTAACATTTCTTGCACGAAATGACTGTGGCTGCGGCAAAAATTTGTGCCACTTTAGTGCTGAGAGCTTTGAAAGCCTTGCCGGATATTTGATGATTTCCGCTTTTTAGCTTGCTTCCGCCGCCTTTCTTGACCGACCAACCCCCCCCACCCGGTGGGGCCAAGTGCGGCCCATTTTAAATATGCTGAGTTAATTTCTTTCCCGAGTTGAGCACTTACTGCCACTTGGCGGTAATGTTATGGAAGTACTATGCTCGCAAGTGTACAATTACTCACACTTAGAGGCCGCAGGAAATTCTCTAAATTCTCTACTTTTCAGCTTCACTTATTTTTCATTTTTATAGCGCGCGCTGTGTGTTGAGGTATGAATACCAATTGCACGAAATGCGCTCATAAAATTGAAGTTGCTTGAAATGTATTCGATTTTGGTTCGTTTGGTTGGATGTTGACTTCTTCCACAGTCTTCTTTACAGCTTTGCTCGCCACTGCCGTACATTAGACTGCTGTAGAACCACATTAAACGAGGTCAGCCACTTAAGCCGCTAGTCGTAATCTGCTTATGAGTATTAAATAATAATTTCTTTACCATTTGCTGAAGCTTGAAAATCATTTCAAGTTTATTCAGATATTATTCAGTGAGTTTAACTCAAGAAATATTTGAATTTCGCATTCTTTGTTGGTTTCGATAATCGAATCGGTAATCGAATGTCCTAGTGTAGGCTAAAAATTATTAATTTTTGTTTTTAAGTTTAACTATTCCAAAATATGTCCGCAAGAGTACTTTTCAAAATTCTCCTTTTTTCGGTGTATAGGTTGTTTTCTAACCCGGTATCCAAAAAGACTTTTTGCGGTGACCATTATGGTATATCTTTGAACTGGGTCCTCTGAAATTAAAAATCAAACAGATTTCGATAAAGTAATATTAAATCTAGTAATTAGTCGCAGGAATAAGCAAAATAAATTTTTGACAAAATGGTGGTTTCTAAACAAAAAAAAAAAAAAACAAAAAAAAATTTTTTTTGTACCAAAATTCCTGACTTCAATTTTTTATAAAACAAATATTTATCAGTGAGAAAAAAAAACTTCGCTTAATTACTAAAAAATATATTTAAGAAGCTCGTGAGATTAATCGGTTTATCCGTTTTCGAGTAATGTTGGTCACCCTTTGAAAACAACAGTTTGAGAAAAACGCGTTTAAAGTTGGGCCATCACCCTGACTTGGAATTTTTCACCCTCCAGATTGCTGTTGTACTGTGAAATTTTTGAAAATTCTTTATAGACTTTTTAATGCCTGCGGCCACAAATTTGAATATTTATTATAATTTTTTTTTAATTTTTTTTGTTTTGGAAAAATTTGAAGCAGTCAAAAAAGTGGCAGAAATTGATTTATTTAGGCAGTCACCAGTTCGTGAAACATATTTTGTTTAACTTTACCGTACTTCCAGAGAGTGCCACATTATTCCAGATTAAATTTTTTAGTTTCAGAATGCTAGAAGGGTGGAATAGCGAGATCTCCACTTTATCAGCTGCTAATTTTCACTTTTCCATTTTTTTATTATTTTTTTTTTCTTATTTTTGTCCTTATTTTTTTTTCTTATTTTTTTGTAAGTTAGCAAATAACACATAAAAAATGAATTGTAAAACTATGGACTGCCTTTGTTTATGGCACTTCAAAACTTACCAGACGTTCATGCCTCTTGACTAGAGATTCCTTCTAAGCTCATATGATTTCATAGTGTGCTTGTCTCTGAGTGCCTTCAGGCCTCAATAAAGTGCAAGCAGCCAAATGTGACGGAAATAATAACTCGAAATTTGACCGATCTTTAAAAATTTAGAAATAAAAAAAATTTCGCTTTATTTCCTAGCTTAAACTGTAGTTACTACGTAATAAAAAACAATAACAACAACTATAAGAACTTAAGTGAAAAAAAAACAAGCAATTGTGGTACTTTTAGAAAATAAAAAAAATTATATTAAAAGTGAAAAATTTTGTGGGCGACCGTAAGGTTAACAGAACGCTCATTTTAAAAGCTTCGAAACCGCACACGCTCGCTAAGGCTCAACTCTACACGCTGGCGTGGTAGAGCGCACCGCAACGTGCATGCAACCGGAAAGCAAATTTTATTAGCGATTAAACAACAAAAGCAAAAGCATAAGAAGTAAAACCAAAAATAAATTTGAAATCCCCCAAACCCAAATGTTAAAGTGTCCGTTAACTGTATAAGTGTTGTTAATTAAATAAATATNATATACAAATAAATCTTGTTAAAGCTGTTAGAAATAATAAATATATACACATACATTAAATAAAACCACAATTAATCAAAAAAAAAATCGAGGAGGAAAACAAAAAGGCAACCGTTAAGCAGGTATCGACGTGCAACAGAGCAACAAACGCAACGCTTCCAGATCAAATATCTCTTAAGCAAGTAGGCAAAGTTACTATTTTTCAACACACAGCATTTTAAGCAACTTCGACGTAAGGACACAATTTAAAACAAACAACAACTAAACGGATATTTTTGTGAATTTTAATCGCCCGGCGAACACTGAGTGATTGAAGATTTTTAAATAGCAGATATTAAAATAAGCAAAAAAGGGAGGAAAAAAAAATTTAAAAAATTGAGACATTGCGAAGCCAGAACAGTAATTAAGCAGTCACTTTGCAACCCCCCAGCACAGATCGACACATCCACTAAATGTTGCATTACAACATCGGCGAACAATACCCTCAACTATTGGCGACACAGCAACGTAAACGTTTCCAACAGACGCGATCACGGCACCTGCAACCGGACGACGCGGCGCTGTTGCTACAGCAGCAGCCGCCAGCACAGCAATCGGAGCAGCAGCAGCAGCAGCAACAACAGAAGAAGCCCGTGCGCATATTTCGCGTACACTACCTACGCATCAACTCCAAGGACGGCTGCGGCGGCCTCAGTAAAAGCAGCAGCCTCACCAACCTATCCACCAGCGCTGGCGCGTCGAGTTGTAATGGCATCGGCGCCACAAATGCAACAACAAACAAAATGAAGACGATTGCACCGAATATACGACGACGTCGCCGCTGCGACAAGCATCACCTCGAGCTGGCCGCCACAGCAGCGGCCGCCGCTACAGCCCACTCGGCCATGCCGGGGCTTGCGCATGGCGCCTCCATCAGCATGCCCGCCTCGGTGTGCTCTTCGGCCACGGCGTCGACGGCCACATCACCCATCGAGGACATTGCGTTGCCGGCACCCCCTATAACGCCGCCACCGGCATTCCTCTCGACCGGCTATAAGCGTTCGTGCGCCGGTGCCAGCAGCAAGGCGGCCTCAAGCGCAGCAGCAAGCGCAAAACTAAGCGTAAAGCCAGCAACTACAGCCAACCAAGCCAGCCAAGCCAAGCTGGGTGCAGCGGGTGGTGGTGCAACAGCAGTGAAGTCGTCTGGATTGAAGCCGTCGCCCGGCGGCAAGGTGCTGGGCATGCGGCGTATGCTAGGTGAGTTTGGTTAGAGGGTATCTCCCGCGTGAGTTAAAGCGATATCGGTGTTGATTTCAGTTTGTTTTCAAGTAGCATGAATGGGTTTCACGGCTTAAAAAAAAAATTTTTTTTTATAACATCCCTGGAATATTGCCGTCGATTCTCATTAATAATTCGCTTTTATACATTAAATTTATCACATTACATTTTACTAAAATCCTATCGCACTTAGTATTTTCTTCAACATCAATTATTTCACTTGTCCTACGCTTATTCCAGTCTAGTGCGATGTGTTCGATTTTCCGAACGAATAACTCAATTTGTTGGCTGCCTCACTAATTCGATATTCCACTTACTTACACTCAAACATAGCTAACAATTGTGATTCCAGCGAAATCAAGCGCATTGTCGCAACACCATTGTATATTGCTCGCCATTACAACAACAATGCAACTCAATCACACAATTCCTTTCTTAGAAGCTCTGAACATCAGCACTAATCCCGACGAACAGTTGACTAAATTGAAATTGGAAGCTGTCATCTTCCACTGAACAAACACACATATTTACACATACACTCAAATGCATATGAATATAATCAAGCAATCGCAATTATTGAGATATCAAGATAACTAAAAGTGTGTGTGTATGTGTGTGTGAGTGTAATAATTCGTACAGATTTGATTGATACAAAACTTGACGCGTCGGCGTTATGCTGGAGACCCAACCCAAAGAATGTTATTTCAGTGTTATGCGTTGTTTGCACGAAGCTTTTTGTAAAAGGGGGTCCGAATTGTGGTGCAAAGAGTGAAAACCATCAAATCGCACTTGAAATAACTTGTGGTTATTATTTTTCCATCGTAGAATTCAACCTTCTCCTCTCAACTTAATTCAACAAGGCTTATATGTGTGTGTGTGTGTGTGCACGTCTGTAAATATTTCACTTTGAAATGCCTTTTCAAATTTCCTCCACAATCTGTTTGACGATAACTACTCAGTGGAATTTCTGTGGTGAACACAGAAAAATGCGAAGAAACTAAGCAATAGAGCCGCAAGAGAGCGCAAAGTCGGTGCGAATATGAGCTCCTCGATGTCACGCCAAGCAAGCAAAGTGCAGTGCTGTGTCTATATGCATGTGTATGTATGTGTGTCAAAGCAGCCTGGCAAATATTTGTTTGCACAATTGGCATTTGCTCCCCTCTCGATTTCCAATAAAGCAGCTATATACTCACACACACGCACACACTAGGGAACACACAGAAGGAGGAAGCCACCGACAAAGCTCTAACACATTCGAACGGATATTCACGAGCTTTGTGTTTGCTTTCTGTCTTTAAAAAGCGGTTGCACAACTCGTCGATATCGTTCTTTAATATGCCGTCGCATTACCCAGACCCTTATTTGTACGTGTATTGGGCTATGTGCATAAATTTGCTGCGAGCACAAACACAGAAGTCAAATCCTTTGGCTGATTTGGTGGCTCAAAGCGAATCCCACATAAGAACCCAAGAAAACCAGCTCTACGGCAGATCCGCTTTTTACCCCTGGCCCTCATAGACCCTCAGCAGCTGATCACACACACACAAATACGCACACACATGCACAAATTCTGCCTGCAACTTATTATTGCCAGTATATTTTCATATTTCTCTGCTAAGACTTTGATATTGCCATTTTTTTACCGCCGATATTTTTTGCTCTCGTTCTGCACATTCTTTCTTTCCCATACAGCCATGTACTAGGTACTTGGCATGTGTGGCACATGTGTACCTCTGTGTGTGTTTGCCTACATACATACTTGCTATGCTCATATTTCGTTTGGAAATTGTGAATTTCATTGATATGTATAAGCCAATTCGGGTTCCACGTAGTTTTTTTTTCTTGCTGTTGCTTTTCTGCTTTGCAGTTTCGCACCTTCGGGAAGGACATGAGCATGTAAAAACTGTTTGCGTGCGCTCGCAGTGATGCATGTGGCACGTGGCAAGCAGCTCCTCGCTTGGTTGCACTGCATATGTGTGTGCCAAAAATATGGCAGTGCGCGTGTGTGTGTGTGGGGGTATGGAAATTTTGATTGGAAATATGCAAATATGCTAAAGTTTCTTAAATGTATGTTGACACTTTTATTTAAATGCCATTATACTTTGCTCTCGCTGGCCACAGGAGCGTTCAACGTTGCAAAATGCTGGAGGAGGGTGAAGAGAGACTACCGAGACTGTAATTACTTTTGTGCTTTATTAACATACTAGAAAATAGTTGAAGGTATATGGCGCAAAAACAAAAACAAAAAATCATTAGTAGGAAAAAAAACTATATCTTAACGGTACAATAACTTTATTTGCATTGTTGAGGTGAATGATTTTGGAGTAATCCTGCCTGATAGATCACAGATTCTAACATGTTTCATAACCTACCTTCATAAGTTTACACGCGAATATAATAAAAAGCACTCATATTGAAAGAAAATTTGAGTTTTGCTTATAAAATGGTTATATATTGATTATAAAATGGTTGTGTATTGGTTATAAAATAGTTATATATTGGTTATAAATTGGTTATATATTGGGTATAAATTGGTTATATATTGCTTTTAAATTGGTTATATCTGACAGCGGCGGCTGATTATGTTATGCTACATGTATGTAGTGAATCGTAAGCACTAAAAATCTCAATTTTTTTTTCGGGGTTTTACGTTGTTTTGCATTTCAGGTGACGATATAAAAATATTAGTACTTCTGTTTCAAAATATCCTCCAAAACCAACATCATAAAGACAAGAATAGTACTCTTGGTAACTGTGTACAATCTATTTTTTTTTGCACTTAACTGGATCTCTACGCTCTACAATTTACTTAGCCAGATGCTCTCATACAAATAAGGAAATTTAAATTTTTTCTCCATTACTCTCCGAGTTCGCCAGAGTTAAACAATTTTGACTTTTGGGAAAAATTCATGCATACTCAAAATGCCCAAATCCCCCTAAAAAGGAAAAATCAACTCCACTTCTCACTGCCCTCGCTGAGCCACACATTGGCCACACTACTTCCCCACATCATGCCGGTAATGACCGCTTTATGTATTCACGTAATCAGTTAAGCAGCTTTGCTGCATTTTCGCATTATTGGCATCCACTTTTAGCCGGCTACTCGCCGTTGCGTGAGGGTGCCGTGGCCCACCTTTCGCTTCGTTTCCAATTTGTTCGACTATTTGTTGTTATTGTTGTCGATTGCAGCGCGCCTCTGCTGGTGAGCGCTGCTAAATTGAGTTACTTGTGGCTGGCCATTCGCTATTCCAACGGTTCCTTAATGGTGTGCAGTTGCAGTTGTTGTTTGTGTTGTTGGCGTGCTTTCTGCGCTCCCTTCTTGCGGATTTCTCACTCTCGCTTATGCATTTCATGGCAGCCACACGCAAATTAATGCAATTTATTTCAACAAGTTTCGACTTTGCTTTGCTTGGCAGTGAAAGTGGCAGGTTGCGCGCGTAGCTTGAGCCCCGAAGCTTGACGCGTGGCAGTTGCTTGCGAGTATATGTTTATGTTGGTGCACTGATGGGCCTCGTTGTATAAATTTGTTGCAAGCGTTTGTGCAACACAGCAAACTATTCATTTCCATTTACTAATATGCATATGTATGAATGTATGTGTATGTGTGTGTGTGTGTGTGCGTGTGCGTGTGCGTGTGCAGTTGTTGCCATGAAGTCTGCACGCAGGTTTAGCTTTCGAGTCAGCCATCCACCTGGTTGCCGTGATTGACATTGTTTCGATTTCGTTCAATGTACCGTTTGCTGCTTTCTTTCACTCTCTCTCTCCTCCCATATTTCATACCCTAGGCTATTAGGTAAACTCCACTGTTTTGCTTGCCATTTCAGGTGCCCCTGTTGCGTTGTTTTCAATTAGCGACGCTTTTGTTGTTATTGTTCCTCCGAATTTCGAAACATGCTTCTATATTTTTGTTTTCATTTTCAAGCTGAGGGCAAAGCTTTGTTTTCCCGATTTGGCGCTTAGCTATCGCTCAACAGCATGTTTACTTTCCGGTTGGATTTGCATTCGCTCCTGTTGCAGCTGCAGCGAGTCAGCGGTGTTTACAAATGTTTGGATGCGTGTATTTCTAATAATCAGTCATTTTTGGGTGACAACTTTTTGTTACTCTGAAGCTGTAAATTTAAAAATTATAACGGAAATTTTTCTCTTTTCGAGTAAGTTTGTACTGATTTCTACTGGATCAAAAAAGTAGGTTACTAAATTATAGGCTATATTAATCACCTTTTTATTTAATTTGATTTTTGGCAAAAGGAAAAAAATTAACTTATTTATTAATTAAATTTATGTGAGTAATCTCGCTAAACCTGCAACGAATCAGTTATCCTTGTCATTAGAGCGATTTAGGTAGTCAGGAATACCAAGAACTTTCTGTTTGAATTTTCTCAAAATATTTACTTGGTTATTACTCGAAAACTTCGCTAATTCCTATTTCTGTCAGGAAGTTAACCTCTTCAATAAATATTGTTTTAGGTAATCAAATTAGTGACCAACATAATCGTTGCCTACATTTCGGCACATTGATAAAAAGTGGACCAATTATGCACTTAATAAATGTTAAACCAAAATATATTGAAGAAAACTGTAAAGACAATAAGAAATGGCATAGGTTATTTCAAAATAATAAAAAGATAACCTACTCCCTTCGAAAAATCTCAGTGGGTTCATTATAAAAACCCTCTCAAATTTCATAAACTTCGATTATAATCCAAAAGCAAAATTTTTCAAAAACGTTTGTTATTTCACACCAACTTTTCTGCACGTGGCCTCGGCTGCTGCTCAAGAATGCATCACTGCCATTCTTCGCTCAGCTTTTTCCGCATTCGCCTTGAACTAATTTCGAGTGCTTCAAGTGGCCGTTGGGGCGTTGAAGCAGTTTTGGTGTCAAATAGGGAAGTTAAATAATGCGGGCAAATTCCAATAAACGAGTGTCAGTGTGTGTGAAAAAATCACTTTAGCTGCTAATTTGTGTAGTTTTCTACTCG